AGAAATATATTTTTTAATGGATTCAGCTGACAGAGATTCCTGTTTGTTTTTGGTTCTTTGTTGTGCCAAAGCAGTTTGTAAAGGTTTCAATATTTTTTTAAATCCCGAATTATCCATTAAAGTGAATGGTCGTCCATTTACAGTTACTAATTCCACACATGCATCAATTAGATGTTTCCCTGTTACACAATTTCTCCAATGGTATTCATATCACTTAAAGATGGTTGAGTTGATGATCGTTTTGTGTTTGTCTCTACTTCAAATTGATTTTCGGCAAAATTATATGATCGAACAAGGTGTTTCTTTAAATTTGTGGCGTGATGACCCTAGATAATAGATACAGTTCAATTCACAAACAAGGACGATCACGTGATATTTAGAATTCCTATAAATTAAGAAAGTTTTAATAAATTTATTATTAAAAAGACAGAAAACAAATATTAAAAAAAGACATTCTGTAGACACTGAATTATAAGACCAAACAAATAATATGAGGTTCAACGTTTTAGTCTGATATTTCAGTAACATCAGACGTCCGTTTTTTTGTGCGTTAATATAGAAGTATCACGTGATTTTACGAGACGAACGCAGGCTTGTAAAATTTACAGTATTTCTTTCAAACGTTACAAGCAGAACCGAAAAAACACCGAAAAACCCGAAATAAAATATTTCGGTTCCGGTTCAGCACCTAACAGTGTGTTAATATCAAATATGGGTTCCGTTCCGGTTCCGGTCCAAAAAAAACGGTTCCGTTTCGGTTTTGGGTCCATATCCGGTTCGGGTCTCTGCATGAAACTTGGTATACTGAATTTTCGCCTTAAGTCATCTATGGAGTATTAGCTTCAATTTGAGCTCGAGACTCGAAACAAACGAAAATCGATACAAGTGGGAAAATGTTATCACAGCAAAACCAAAAAGGAATTTTTTTTGAGGTAACTACGTATTTAAAAAGGTTAGCAAAAAGTTTATAAAGAGTTTCGGAAATGCGGTCAACTTTTATGATTTAGGTGTTAAGAAATAAAAAACAACGCGTTTTTTTGTTCAACTTAAAGCATGCCGAAATTGCACTAATTTTGCAATGGTTTTTGGTCATTTTCCACCTGGTAGTAAACTATGTAGTACTGAGTTTTTGACAAAACCAGAAGTTACAGAAAAATATTCGATCGGAACAGATGGCGATAATTGAAACCAAATCGCTCTAAGTAATCAGAAATTATCCACTTCCAGTGTTAAGGCTAATTTGGGTGTGTTTATTTGTTGATCAGTTTATAATAAATATTACACTAAATAAAGATAAATACAATTTGAAAAAATTGCATCATCGTTTCAATTACAAATATTTAAGGAATTTTGAACTTTTTGATAAATTTATTATAAAATTACTTATGTAACAGACCAAACCGGAGCGGTTTGTTCAGTTCTCTAAAGGTTCTCATGTTTCCTTATTAAGTATATTAATACTGGAAAAAATTTGCTCTATTGCTCTTAAAAAAATATTGTCAATTTTTCTAGCAGACTTTAAAAAAGTGTTTTTATGGTTTTGTCTAAATAGCAAATGCAAACTTTGCTACCTTCTTAAGTAAATCCCTGAATAAAGACACCATCCTGTATTTATTATCAAGTTAATGGCTTTGCTGATGGATTTTGGCAACTTCTGGGCATTCCCACTTCAAAATTAAATTTTATCGATAATTAGATAAGCTTGGTTCCACCTGCACATAGACGTAAGTGTCTGGAGTCGAGGGCAAACGTGTGATGGTGCATCAAGAATAATTTCACGTATCAAAACGACGAGGCTGAAACAATCGGTAAAACAAAGGACGAACGGTTGGAGCACGTTTTTCGGCAATGGGGAAAAAGGAGCAAGTCGTGAGGGGGATGGTCGGAACAACCCTCCATTCCATCAAATGGATCCGTAACGAAGTTAGCTGTCCCTAGCACTGGGATAATCCAACAGCGACGGGGGACCGGCCTACTATATTGACGATGAAACGAACGTCTTATCAGAGTTTCCTAATGTCGAAGAATCACTTTTTCTATTGGATAAGTTGGTTTTCTGCCGGATGGATTTCTCCCGCTTGCTGCAACCAAATGAGCTTTGTTTTCAATTTCAAGTTTCCTTCGGCCAGAGTATTTGTATTCAACCAAAGTATTCGATAGAATGTTTGTACTTTAAAGGACCCCTAAACTTTGTAGCTTGTCGCTTTAAACTTGTCCTAACTAAAACCTTCACATTCAACTATGAACCATTCAATCATTATATGTTATTTATATATTATATATTCTATCATACAATCATTTTCTGATTGTGTCACGATTAACTAACTATATTATTTTATTCTCTTCAGGTGTGGTTCCAAAACCGCAGAGCAAAATACCGAAAACAGGAAAAGCAGCTCCAAAAAGCTCTGGCTCCAAGTGTGCTGCCTGGATGTAACGGTGCGATGATGCGCAACATTTATCCAGGAGCAGCCAGAGGCTACCAGCCCTATCCACATCCAACGGCCATCAACCGATACCCTCAGGTGAGCTGATTCTACGTTACTCACAGGCAGTGTTTCCCAAATGTTTCGAATCTGCGGACCCCCAAAATTAGACGCCAGTATCATGGGAACCCCAGAAACAGTTTCGTTACAAAAATAAAAATAAAGCAACTATTCGGTTGTAATGCGGTAAAGTTATTAATGTAATTAATAATTGTTAAAAGACTTATGAGTAATAAAAAATCAAAATAAAATTAATTGATGACATGATAATTATAACACTTTTTCAACAATTTTAATGAGAAGAGTGGAACACTGGTTTTTCCATCATAATTTTTTGTAAATCACGTCTATTATTTGAAATTTTTAGTCTTATATCTGAAGCAGCATCCAGCCGGTTTCTTTGTTTTGGTTTCAAAAGAACGTATACAGAGAAAGTCTGTTCACATAAATAAGTCGTGCAAAACGGAATCAAATATTTAATAGTCTTTTCTGAGAACTCGTTGAAATCAAAATTAATTTTAATCCAAAACTGAACTAAATCGTTGTCGTTAAAAATCTATTTTTTAGAACTGCTACGAGACAACTCGACAAGCTGATCTTGTTTTTCTGTAAGAGTTGCATTTTTTTCAATTCTTGAGGTAGCAAACGGATTTCTTATCCAGCAGTTTTCACTATTTGGAGCCGGAAAATATTCATGAAAACTTTTAGCTATAAGTATTCTGCAAATGCGCACAAATTATAAGTTAAATTTGGCTCTTGTGGCTAAATTTCTTCCTCGCATTTCAAAAACGAATCTAGAGAAGAAAATGTCCTTAAAGATGATTGTTCCACGCGGTTATCCCAAATATGTAATTTTTGTATGGTGGCTTCTATTTTTTCTTCAGCCTCAAAAATATGTATGCTTTTGCCCTGTAATTGTAGATTGAGTTAATTTAAAAATGCAAAAATATCCGATAAGTATGCTGTCAAGCACATCCAAGGAACATCGTTAAGTCGTTCAGCTAATTCAAATTTATTGTCATTTAAAAAAAGCCGTATCAAAAAGTTCAAAAACTCGAGCCAAAATTTTTCCCCGGCACAGTCATCGTACTTTTGTATGTTAAAGGAGTTGAACGTGTTCATTGCCTGCTTCTTCACATATTGCTTGAAAAACCCGAGAGTTTATTGGTCTGGCCTTAATAAAATTAAGAATTTTAACAATTTCGTCCAGGGTTGATTATAATAATGGAGACATTTTTTGTAAGCTATTGCTTCCCTATGGATACAGCAATGAGTCCATGTTATATTAAGTGCTACACTTTTTACGCGTGCCACAAGACCGGTTAATTTTCCTAACATAGCATGTGCCCCGTCTGTACTTAATCCAACACATTTGTACCACCTTATATTAGATTCAGTAAAAAAATCATTCAAAGCATTAAACATACAGTCAGCCGTAGTACGCATTAGTTCCCGTAAAC